GAGAATATTGTTAAATGTGAAAGAGAATATAGTTAAATGTGAAAGTAACTCAGGAATAGGAATAGTTTTAAAACAAAATCAAGCACAGAGCCAATTTTCCAATTTGTTTTTTTTTTCTAATGTAACATTACTGAAGAGTAGAATCACTTTTCAGAAAGTAAAAATTTAATTGAGAACTAAACTTTGAGGATGAGGGCCAAGCTCTTTTATTAGTTCTTTCACGCAAAAAAATAAATAAATAAATAACAAGACCTGAAAAAACCCCAGTCTAGTAACAATTCCATATTTATCAAAACTGTTCTTGCACTTTTATTTCTTACATATTGTCTCAATAATATTAATTTTCTTCCCTGTGCAATATATTACCTACCTGGGCATGGGACCCTGTTTTGTCAATTGGGTTGCAGGACATCTCTTTCTCTTTTCTTGTGAGTCTGTTATTGTAATACTAATTAGCTGGTGTCCATATGTAATGGAAAACACAACTTGTGTCTTTGTCCTACCACTATAGGCCTGATTCTTTCTCAGTTAAAGGATGTATTTTAGCCAGGGATTTCCAGTGAGGCTGGGGATCCACGGTGGACAGATTTTATATAATATCTACACAGATTTTATATAGTAAAAGCTGAAAGAGCAAACTAGTTTCACTGTTAAACTTGACTCTTCTGGAGAATGAAGTAATACTGTATTTATAAAGTCTTCTTATTCATGCAGTCTCACCTTCTCTTTGTAGCTAGTGTACTGCACAGTAAACCATCTCAGATAACTAATCCAGATTGAAGTAACTTCACAAAAGTACAAGCTTAAAGTGACTGTAAAACTCCAGCATTAACTGTATGATATAAATTCTATCCTATTTAAATAACCTTTGCACTAAATTCTTTATCATATTTCATTGAAAAAACTTCCTCTTTCCCATATGTGACATTACAATATTATTTTCTTCAGCATACTCCATACTATATATTAATAGAGGTAGTCTTATTTTCAGAGGATATACACTGTAATACTTCTGAATTACTCATGTTGCCTACTTTCTTTACCCTTCATGTCTTCTGGTTATATTTTACTCATTTCAGCAACATTTTCCTTTACAATCTGCATTGTTCAGAAAGCTTCAAAACATGGCCTAGCTAATCATCTGCACTTACCAGGTGAGGCTGATCTGGACCATGAAGCCCCTGGGTGTCTGCAGAGCCCTGAAAGCTACTACTGCAACAACTGGATCTCTTTGGTCATGAGTTTGTCAAGTAAAAAACACCTGATTGTTCCCAAAGACTTTATAGTTACCTTGTCTAATACCTGTCAGTATGGTACATAAACACAAGCCTTAGATTATAAGACTATTCATTGAATATCATCAAAGATTAAGAAATTCCACTTACATAATTTATCACCATTATTCGAGTAAGGAGAAACAGTGAATTGATAATAAAATATTAGAAATAACAGGTTTTCATAGTCTGACACAGGGACCTATTTTTTTACCTAAAATAATGTATTTGCTCTATGAATAATTGAATTTAAAGACCTTCAAATGTTGATCATTAGACAGCCTAAATATATATTCTCTTTATGACTGCTGAAGAGGAAAAAAGCTGGAAGAGTCGACTGTAATTTAGGTGGCCATTTCGTGTCATGAGATCTGATATAGATCATGTGTTTAAAAATGAAATGTCTCTCAACAGCAGCACTCGTGTAGTAAGTGTTTCAAGGAGAATGTATCTCACCTAATTGCCTCTATAATAAAACCTTATAGAGACCACTCTATAATTGCAGACCCTTATACCATGCATACCATGTAATACTTCACACTTTTACAAAAGCTTTATTATTTTTGCTTGTTTTGCTCATGTTTACAGAGAAGAACAATATTTTTTTTAACTCTAAGTCTTGACATTTTTTCAACTACGCATTAAAAAATCAGTCGTTTCTCTTCTATTGAATATGTTTTAGACAAATGTATTTTCTAAAAAAGGTAATGTCTTTGTTTGAATATGCATAGACAATTTATAGAGATAACAGGTATTGACTTAAGCAGGAGTTAGATATATCATTTTTTGACAAAAAACCCAAACCAAAACAGTTTGCTTATGGCAAAGAACATAAATATAGATCAGTTGTTGTCATATCTTGTAACTGTGATTATGACAGGGTGTTATAGTAGCTTCTTTTAAGCTCTACAACATTCCTTGAGTAGGATATTCTGCTAACTGGTTCATTTATTATTATCTATTTTACTCACAAAGATTACTTTTTAAAAATCAGATCTTCTTTTACCTTTATTGAATCTAATGTCTTTTTTCATAACTCACATCTGCACATTGCTAATTGATTTAGCTGGAAGTAGTCTAAGGAAATACATATATTGGAAAAGATCTGGAGCTGATGAATACAACTATATTATGGTTAGGGGAACATTATGATTCCACACTGAGAGGTCAGTCAATGCAATGTTACACAGTAAATACACATTAATACATTTTTTCCTCCTTTTTTTTTTTCACTTACACATCACAAAACTTTTGGGTGAAAAGATGACATTTTTCGCTCCATAAACATGTCAGTATACGTTCTCTTTGGACTTCCCTTTTTACTAGGAATAATCTGGGAAAAGTTTAGATACTGAACCATCAGAAATGGTAAGTAAGTTAATGATTCACATACCTTTTTTTGTTAGCTGTGCAGTACTTTCAGTGTGATCAAACAAACTATAATAAGTCAAAAGTAATTTTCCTTTTGAATGTAATAATTATAGCTGGTTCCTGCTCATCCTTTTGATTAAAGACACTTTACATCTTTCATTGTTATTTTAACATTTATACAATGCTTTACATCTTCAAAGCACTCTGCTGACACTACCTTGTTAGTTCTTGTAATGCTTAGGTGCAATTTTCAGTGTGCTTTTATATCACAATCCTATTTTAATTGCTATTTAAATTTACATTATAGACAACAGGTTAGCGAAGGCATATAGCGCTTTTGGAAAACTCCGTAAAAGAGTTTGGCGTAATAAACACTTGAAGAAAAGTACCAAGATCAGTGTTTACAGAGCCATAGTGGTGTCTACTCTTTTATATGATTCTGAATCTTGGGTCATCTACCGCCACCACCTGCGTCTCCTAGAACGTTTCCATCAACGCTGCCTCCGTACAATCCTAAACATCCACTGGTCAGATTATGTGACCAATACATCGGTTCTTGAACAGGCAGCAATCACAAGTATTGAGGCCATGCTACTGAGAACGCAGCTGCAATGGGCAGGGCACGTCTCCAGGCTGAAGGACCATCACCTCCCTAAGATCCTGCTCTATGGTGAACTTGCCACCGGCTGCCGCAAGAGAGGAGCCCCGAAGAAAAGATACAAGGACTCCCTGAAGCAACATCCCAGCCTTGGCCATATTGATCACCATAACTGGTCTACTCTGGCCTCCAATCGGGAGGCCTGGAGACACACCATCTATAACGCTGCTGACGCTTTTGAGAAAGCACGCAGGATCACCCTTGAGGAGAAAAGACAACGCAGAAAGAATCGTGCCTCGCAGAATATACCATCTAAGGAGTCTTTCTGCTGTGCCTTTTGCAACCAGACATGCCTTTCTCGTATTGGCCTTTTTAGCCACCAACGCGCTTGCAAGAAACCTGGGTAGAGCCCTTCCCAAATCTTCGTTCGCGAAGCCTAGCCATGATGATGATGAAATTTACATTATTTATATTTATAACAGGCCATAAAAAGGAATATTTAGTAGCAAAGACACCATGCCAATGATTTCTGCAGTACATTTCTTAAGTTACAAAATATTTTGATGTGATACTTCAGATTGAGCCAAGTACTGAACTCTGCTAATGAGGGTTTCAGGTGACCATCACACAACACAATGTAAATCAGCATCAGTAAGAGAATGCCAGTGCTGTTCCTCCACTTACTTTCATTACTGTCCCAGTGAAACATCTTCTCCCAAATTTGCTGTGTGAAATGGAAATCATTGCAAATGTACTTGAGGTACCAATGCTCCAATTTCACTTACTCAAGACAGTGACCAGCACGGGAGCCCTGTCAGGTACTGACCCTGCTGCTTCCCAGGTTGTCTCCAGGAGCACACGGTTGTGAGCCCCTCCAAAAGCAATGCTGCTTGCTTTCCCGGGGGTATTCATGGGAGTGGGGTATTTGACGTAATCTTACTCACAGTTTATTGCTTTTTCCTCATGAACTCCGTATAGTAAGTTCTTGATACTGCAGCTAAGTTTAGTGAGCTCAAGTTTTTCTCCTAACCTTGCTTTTCAACTTCTTAAGTGTCAAAAAAAAGTTCAGCCACTAGTTATTTGAACTTCTAGCTGATACTCCTTTACTTTTTTATTTCTTCCCTGTTATATAAACACACCTCAGAACTCACTGGAAGTTTCTTTAAGCATCTATGGCTAGTAAATATATTTGCTAATCACAAAATTAGATTTGTAGATTCTTGTGTTGCGGAAAGCTACATATAATTCCCTCGTGGCACCTTGGGCCTGTCCCACCTATTTGTTGTCTGTAAACAACTAATAAGACACAGTTGTCAGAATATTATGTCAAATGATCCATGGCATTTAGTGTCAGATTGCAGTGAAAACACTTCCTCATTGTTGGTGACTGTGTAATAATGAAATCACAATTAAACTTGATTTTGTAGGTACTGAATATTTGTAGCTACTGAAGTAAGAAATTGCTCAGATATCCTGAAATATTAAGTAATTGCTGCATAACTGAGTTGCATAACCTCTCTTAAAGGTACATAGTATAAATTGACGTCTCCTGGCAAACCTTGCCCATAGTTACAGGGCAGCCACTCCTTTCTGTCACCTAGTAACTTTTTAGTAGTCAACATCAACTCAGAGTTTCTGAGCTAGTACTTTTAGAAATTCTCTTTAGGGTAGAAATTCTAAACAGTGTAGTAGCCTGAACCAAGCACAACAACCTATGAGAGCAGAAAAAAATTGTAGTAGTATATTCTGAGCATAAAATGGATTTGGCCAAAAGTAAGATTATACCTGCAGGCAAATCAGGCCAAGTCCTGGAAAAAATCTGCCACCTGAACTTGCTGGCGAGAGATATGCTTCTGAAAAGCAATCTGGATAATGAAGGTATAGAGGAGTATGTGCTTAGACTGATTTCTTTAACAGAAGAGCTGAGCGGATCTCTCAGGCAGCAGCTGAAGAACATTATGGAAAGTATTCAAGACACCTGTCACTTGCTGAGTGCCCTCCACAACAAACACAAGGAATTGACTGGAAATCCAGGCAAGTATGGAAGGACTTAGCTGTAAACAGTAGGGACTGGGCATATTGGGTGCTAAGTTCTGCTGTGTGATGGTGCCAGGGGACCTTACTTTTAATTTTTTAGTATTTCAGTACTTGGTCATTGATTACACCAAATTAATTCATATTTCCACAATTGTATCACACTTTTTTTGAGTCTATTACATGAGATTCAATATGAGATTCATAATTCTTATTATGTGACCAAAACCATATAAAAATAAAATAAACTAAACAGAATTGTTCAAATTTTTATGTGTACTATACTTTGGTGGGTTTATCTTGCCCAGATGCCCACCCAGCAACTTATTACCACCTGCTCAACAAGAAAAGGGAAGAAAATAAGATGGAAAAACACCTGGGTTGATATAAAGGCAGGGAAATAACTTAAAACTTATCATTGTGGGCAAAAGGGACTCAACTTTGGGAAAAAAATCAATTTATTGTATTGTCAATTGAATCGGATAGTGAGAAGCAAAGGCAAAAAATTTGAACACCACCTTTCCCCCATCCTTTCTTTTTTCCAGGCTCACCTTCACTCCTTTATTTCCAAGTCCTTTACCTCCTCCTCTTCCTGAGGAGTGCAGGGGGCAAAAGTCAGTCTATCGCAGTTCCTCTCTACCATTCCTTCTTTCTGACTCTTTTTCATGCTCCACTATGGGTCCTTCCCATGGTCTGCAGTTTCTGTCAGGAAAAGCTGGGCTCTACAGAGGCTGTAGTTCCTTCAAGGAATATCTACTTGCCCTGGCAGAGAGTCCTCCCCAGACTGCAGAGTGGATAGTTGGTTAAAACTTGGTGCTAATAACACCAAGGTCATGGGTTCAATCTGCCGTATGGGTCATTCACTTAAGAGATGGACTCAATGATCCCTGTGGGTCCCTTCTAACTCAGAATATTCTGTGATTCTGAAAACCCGCTCCAGTCTGGTCTCCCACGGGCTGCAAGGGAATCTCTGTGCCATGCCTACAGCGCCTCCCATTCCTTTTCCTCTGACCTTGTTGTTTGCAGGGGTGGTTCTCACACTTTTTCTTCACTCCTCAGTTTTCGCTGGTGTTCTTGCCCTTTCTTGAATATCTTTTCACAGGGGCTTTGCTGCCAGGCTCAGTTCAGTTCTACAATAGGCAAACATCAACATATTAGCAAACATTTATCAAAGCTGAAGTGAAAACTTTTAATAACGGTTTAACAGCATTAAACCTCAAAAGAGGAGTGTCCAACAGGTCAAGGGGGGTGATTTGCCCCCCTACTCCACCCTTGTGAGACCTTACCTGGAGTAGTGAGTAAAGGTCTGGAATCCTCAACACAAGAGTGACATGGACCTGCTGGAGCAGGTCCAGAGGAGGGCCATGGAGATGATCAGATGGATGGAGCACCTCTCCTATGAAGACTGGCTGAAAGAGTTGGTGTTGTTCACGCTGGAGAAGGCAAGGCTCGGAGAAGACCTTGTTGCAGCCTTCCAATTCTTAAAAGGGGCTTATGAAAAAGAGGGAGAGTGATTTTTTTTTTTACATGGACGGATAGTGATAAGGCAAGAAGGAATAGTTTTAAACTAAAAGAGGAGAGATTTAGATTAGATGTTAGGAAAAAATTCTTTACTCAAAGGGTAGTGAGACACAGGAAGAGGTTGCTCAGAGAAGTTGTGGAGGTCCCATTTCTGAAGATGTTAAAGGCCAGGTTGGATGAGGCTTTGAGCAACCTGGTCTACTACAAGTTTTCCCTGCCCATAACAGGAAGGAAGGTTGGAAAGAACATTAAAGATCATCTTGTTCCAACCCCAATCATTCTGTGATTCTATGATGATTCTATGATGCAAAGACAGAGAAAGAAAGAGATTCTAGACAAAAATCTTTACCTATGCTTGTGTTTATGAGTCCTTGATCTATAGGTTTATAAATTAAAACATTTTTGTTTAAAAAGTCTCCTTCTAGGCTCCAGGCAAGCTAACTTTGTTCTGTTGACCTCATGGTTTATGTGATTTTTAAAATTTTTTTTATCAGGTTTCCAAGAATCATTCTCCTTCCAAAAAGCTACTATTCCTCATCTGACAAATACTCTTTAAAACAGTCAGCAAAAAGGTCTGGATACAGTTGCCTATAAACTGCGTCTGTATTCTAAAGCTGTGTTATCAAACATCAGAAAAAGCACAGAAAGCAAAGTGTTAGAAAAGTGATGGGGGAGGGGGATAACACAAAAGAAGACTTATTTCGAGGTTAGCCTTGTAACAGAATGCAAAAAGTGTCTCTCCATGTGACACAGTTGGATAGTGTACTGTTACAAGGCCATATCTTTGCTTGGCAGAATTAGAAAAGTCACATTCACAGCACAGGAAAATGCCATTGTTTTGAATTACCCTGTTATCTTCGAATTTGATTTTAGGGAAGTTTAAAGAGCTATATAACTTGTTTGATGGTGGGGTTTTTTTGTTTGTTTGCTTTGTTTAGAGAACGCAAAATTCAGGGAAGAAATGCCAATTTTGGCAGTTTTGCCTAAGCTTGAACTTTGCCTTATAGTGAAACTGGGAAGGGTCTTTTACAACCTCTTCTGCAAACAAAGCTGTGTTATTCCCAATCCTTTTGTTTTATTTCTCAGCTCTGTTAAACTATTTAGAATTTCTTCACTATTGTAAAAGTGCCTCTGGAAAAACATTAGAATAATAGTTTTCTTTAAATTACCAGTGCAAAAAATATTTTAAAAAAGTATACTTGCTTCCTTTTTTTCTTTTTTTTTTCCTCAATATAGTAAAAATCCAATAACAAGTCCTTTGAGAACTGAAGAAGTATTGGAAAGGAATAATTTTTTACTGAGTTTAATGAGAAAAAACCTATTCTGAACTGTACTCTTCATAGGTTTAAACTAATCAGATGCAAACAGAGATGAAAGTGAGAGGCCTATCTAGATCACATAACTTCACTCGTTGATGTATGATGACATTTGTCCTAAAATTATTTTCTAAGTTAAAAACTTTGAGGTATTGATTTACCTCATATGATGTAGTTGAAAAAAGTGAATGTAAGTCAATGACTTCCTGTAAGACTTGTATTAGCCCTTTCTGTTTTCCTTCTTTTGTGTGTCTCTGTCCCTTGTAAGTGGAGAGCACGCCACACTGTGTTTCATTTTGTGCTATTTTCTTATTTGTATTGCCTTTCACTGCATTTAACCTGCAAAACAGGGCTTTCCAGGATCTCATGCAGCAAACAGAAATAAGCAAGAAATTTTCCAAGGGGTTTGAAATATGCCTAGTTCCAGTTATAGAGGTTGACAGCATAAGGTGAGGGAAGAGCTCTAAGTAATACATATGAAATCCTTGGAGAGATTATCTGGAGTGATTTCTAAGAAAAGGTATAAGATAAGAAAAATGAGGTTTCATAAAATAAATAAGATAAAATATTACACAAGTGGCACATAATGATTGTGCATTTTTTGTGCATTCTTCCTCACCAAGTGATCTTAGTTACATGCAAGGGCAACCTCTACCATTCCTGAATGCTGCTGAACTCCGGTATTATGTATGGGCTGGTGGGTTTGTGTTATCTATTCTTCATAGCAAAAATTCGAAGCTGCTAAGCATGTTTAAAATTAGGCTCACGTATTACAGCTTTGTTAGAGACTCGTGCATTGGAACCTTGTAGGATTGAAATTCTGAAAATATATATAATTAAGGTTTAATTTTAAAGCTCTTCCCAAATTGATTTGAATATTATTTACCAATTCCATGCTTCGGATTGATTGATTGTCATTAAGAATTTAGCTAGTGTCTGACCATTAGAAAGGTGTTCATTAGAGTTGCCACAGTAACACTTTGACAAATACACAGTTGTTCTTGGAAAAGTAAAAAATGTATTTGTTTGTATTCAGTTCTTCAGAAATTGATTAAAAACATTAAATAGATGCCAGGAAATACAGTATTCTTCATGTATTGAATGGCACTATGGAATTATGTGAAATTCATTAGGTATGTATATGAGTTTTCAGATTTTTTCTAGCTTTCATAGCATAATTTAATTGGTTACTTATTTTTTGCCTCAGAGCACAATGGAATTATAGATTGTCTGCAGAAAGTGAAGGATTATTTCATAAATACAGTCTCACACCTTCAAGAGGCAGAAAATAAACTTTATGCTGCTAGCTGTAGACAAGATGATGATTCTCAGAACCAAACTGGCCAAAATGCTTCTAGAGAAGCAGATGTGCATTGTTCGGAAGGAGAAGGAACAGACTCTGTACAAGCGTCTTCCAGTCCCAGTCAGCAATTCCAAAAAACTCCTTCCTTGAACAACACAGAAAGTCAGAATGTTAATCAAACCCAGACAAGTGAAACTAAAACTGTTGAAAAAGATGCTGCATCATTAACTGAAAACACATCTGACCAAGAGGAGGATGCTAGCAGAGAACCTCCAATGAAAAAGGAAGATGGTGAACACAGACTACTAATGAACCCTGTTACAGAGAAAAAAGAGTGCAATGGAAAGGATAAACTTCACAGAGGTAGCTCTGTTACTGAAAAGCCTCCAGAACTGGCTTTTCAAGATGCTCTTATGAACAGTGGGGAAGAGATTTTGTCTGGGACATTGAAAGACATTTGTGGCAGAACCATCACAAATCTTTTTGAACAGGAAAAAAAGGAAGTAGCTGGAGAATCTTCAAAAGGGCTAGAAAGTGAAAAGCACAGACTGATAGAGAAAATGGAAGACAGTAAAATGAAAACAAATAAGGAGATTTGTAGAAATTACCTAAGTACCTTCACATCTTCAGCACAAATATATGATCTTACTGCTGGGAATCCTTCTGTGAGTAATTCAGAAGTACAAAAATCTAGGCACTGGATGAACAAAGAGTAAGCACATGTTCTTCTTTTTTTAGGAAAAGGCTTACATAATTATTGCTTATTAACATATAAAAATATGTGGGTACAGAAGCTCAATATACGTGTACTGAACAGCTGCTGGTCATGCAGTTTACAATTTAAGCATGCATAATGAAGATCTTTCCCTTTGGTCTAAAGTAAAGTTTCCATTTGTATAATTTTTTTTATACCAGAGAGGGACTGAGTCATGGCCGATAAAGTCAATAACTCCCAAATTATTGGAAATCAGTAGAAAATTACCCCAATTTTTCAATTTCATAGTAATTTGTAAGCTGTTCTGAAACAGGCGAAAGATGAAAATTTTCATGATTTTCCTATCTATTCATAAACATATTTTTCTGAACGATCTGCTTATGCTTCAATGTAGCACATCGTTACACTGAAGTATTTAATTAAAAATACAAGACACTACCCCACTCAAAATACAAAGAATAATATTTTATATCTTTTTTCACCAGATTTCTAGTCGAGGAGAGTGGTAAGAATAAACGTAAAGTAGCTTGTTTTATTAAGGCTCCTGCATCTGTTCTGGAGAATCTGAAGTGTAAGATAGTGAATGACACTAGTTCGTTGGTGGTGGATGATTCTGAGGAGCTGGTCAGCAACGTCATAAGCATCGAATGTTATGATTATGAAAAAATTCTTTTCCCCATCAACATTGCAATCCCCTTCACTTCACGCTTCAGAGGAAATTATCGGGAGATTATGGTGAAGGTGACTGATGTGAACTTTCAATCAAACTACTTAACTCCTATTTCTTTGGAAGGATACCAAGGAAACCAGGAGGTTGGTAACCTCTCATCAAAGCACTGTAAAAACATCATTTGAGGTTCTCAGTCAAGTCTCTCTGGAGTTATACAAGTAATGTTGTCATTATTAAATCATATTGTCTACTACTCAGGGTTAAATAGAACTTTTCTTCCTACTTTCTTATGAACTATTCTGTTATTTAAACCTAGTATTTAACAAGGTCCTTTTCTTCAATTGTAATGTTAAGGCAAGTGCTTGATCCCACAATATTAATGATTGAGTAATGGTTCATGATTTTGTAAATAAGTGTAATGAGTTGCATTATTTGATAAAAGTAAAACTTAAAGTGAATTATTATGAATTTTGACCACAGTAAACTAACACAGTTCCATGCGTATAAGTTCAAACTCCATATCATAAAAACACAGGATGGTTCTTTCTTTTGTTTAAATGCAGAAGTGTTGCATTGGACCAGAGTCATCACCCAGCTTAGAAGCTTATTTCATTTTACCACAGTCATACACTGGAGTACTAATGACATCACATGATGACTAGAGATCATCAGAAAATTGGGCATGCAGGTGGCAATAGTATGCAATTTATTTTCATTTCACACATTGCTCTAGAAAGAATGTTGCCTTCTCAATATTCTTTTCCACTATGGAACACAGCTTCATTTCTCTCCAGTGTGATCTAACCCCACATTCTCTTTATTCAGGAAAGCTTTGCAGAAGTGAAAATTTATCATCTGGGTGTTTTATCTGTATTGTCATGCTTAAAGAAAGAAACATTTACTGTTCCAAAGGTAGGACTCTCACAAAAGCTGAGCATGGATTCTAGAATCTCTTTCTGTTACAGTCCAGAAGCATTCAGTTCTCCAGCACCCATAGAGTTAAAGGTAAGCTCGAAATATGCAATACTTGTTCCATAAGTGTGTTATCTGATCAGTTCTGTAGCAAGTCTGCCAATGTTAAAGTGCAATCTGTTCCAATATCAGAAGTCTACAAAAAGTGTTTACAACTCTACATCCTGTATAAGCAGATTTCCTGTCAGCTTTGTAAAAACCACATAATAACATCAGTAGTCAAGAATATCTTTAGCTAAAATTATCTATCTACCTTTGTTTCATGTAATTCAGAAAATACAGTAGTTTTCAATAAATATGTAAGTAGCAACTCAAAACTTCAACTGTTTATCCCATTGTTCCAGTTAATTGAACAAGTTTTCTCACCTGATCTCCCTCCTTTGTGCCAGGAAGTGCAACAGAAGGTTTTACCATGTTTGCAACAGAAGGTTTTACCATGTTTTACTCTTAGGATGAGAATAATCTCAAATTTTGCTTCAGTTATAACGTGTTTTTCCCTTTCCACATTAAAACATTAATTTGGAGGTACAGAGAAACTAAAGTTGCAAAAAAATAGAGATTAGAAAAATCTCAGAAAATTTTCAAAATCTGAGGAAGCTCATGAGTTTCAAATATTGAACCAAAGCAGGAACAAAACAATCAAAATATTTTAGTCAGTAAAGGTTCCAGTTTTTGATGACTTTCAAGCATTTTGATATGCATTGTATAAAGTGCTGATACTTTGGTAAGGTTGTTGCTGGGTCATAGAGAGGAGTCTGAAGCTTCTGTGATAGTCTGTTCCAATTTCAAAAGATAAACTAATTTATAAAAAAGCCAGGCATGTAAGAGAAGAGATTTTTACTTACAAGTTAATTGTATAATTGCTTTCTCTATTTAGATTCAGCCAATTGAACCATCATTGGTTTCAGCATTGAAAGCAAGACATGATATGTACCACTCAGTGATATCTACTAGTGCACTGGTTCGTGTCCAGCATCCTTCAGCCCAACCTTTTAACAATTCAGTCACTATTACTCTACCTTGTCCTCCAAACCCAGAAAAAAAAAGGCAAGGATGTGAGACAGAACATGAAAGAGCCATTAGTGCTACAGTAAAGAGGGTTGCTGCAGCATACCATCCTTGGTAAGAACAACCTCACTACAAATTCAGCATTTTTAAAACATCAAATTGAATTCATTTTAGCAGTTGCTGATTAATAATTTCTCGTATTAAATTGTGTTTGTTACTTAATACAGATTGCTATACTTAGAAACATTGTGAGTAACACTAGAGCAAATTATCACAATTCTCATGCTATAGTTTCACCATAGAAATTCATATAGGATTTGATGTATATTCTTTAAACATTCTGACCACATTTCTAGCAGGAGTCAGAATTAAAAATGTGTGGGTTTTTTCAGTAAGAAATATTCAGGCCTTTTCAACAAAGTCAAATGCTGAACATGGAGAATAGACATATCTTAAAGCTGCTGTGGTCATTACTTTACCAGTTGGTCATTTGAACCTGACCTTTGAATTTTCTGATCTCTACTTCTACACATTCCAATTGTTACCTGAATCAAAATGTATGGCACAGTGGTTTGTAGTAGGTCAACTTCATGGTAATTACTGCACTGGATAAAGATCTAGATTTGTTCAAAGCATTCACTACAACATTTCTAAAATTTAGAGCTTTTGGCATGTCTTAAAAAAGGATTAAAACATGAGGACTCCTAAAAAAAAAAGATAATCTCTAAATCTCAGTTCTTTATTGGCAGTTCAATAAAATCTATTCATCATGCACACAAGGATATGGACAAAAATTTTTGGTGGAAAAAAAGGCAAAAGCTGACCTCATCTATTTTGTCAATCCATAAATAAATGGTGTTTTTACCATCTCATGCAGGGAAAAAATTAATCTGAATTTACCATTTGATCGTTGTCCTTCCAGTTCTGCTACCATAGGCACCTCCAGGTTCAGAAAGCCTTACTGTCTTGGTAGGGACTATCTTGGAACAACAGTCAGCTTTGAACTACTTTTGCTTTATGTCATTAAAGAGTTAGCTTATTCCTACTGGGCTAAACATTTCTTTTTAAAAATCCACCTATATTCCAAGATTATGATAGTCTTGTAAGTAAACAAGATGCAAATGGAGAAGGCAGACAATGTTCTAGCTTTCCATTTCTGAAAAACTCAGATTATGTTTTAAAAAGCTCTGCATTCACACTGGTCTGTTAGAGTAGACATCCATTTTTATCCCAAACTTCAGATGTGAGAAGGGTGACCATGTCAGTTTATAGGGGATTCAAATTTCATTTCCTGAACCAGAAGTATTTCATTGTGTGACAGTACCCTCATGGCATCTGTCTCTTCTTAATACCAGTCTAAATGGCCCTTTAGATTCTCAAAGCACATGTGTGAAAAGACCGTGGCTTGAATGCTTATTTCTGTATGAATTTCCATAGAAAATTTTGCCAACGCTTTCCTACATTTACACATTGGCTGAGGCTGAACACTTAAGATATGCTAAGGCTCTCCTGTTTGGAGAATTTTCTTTTTTAGATTGTACATAGGACATGTATTTGATGTGATTGGGTTATTCACATACAGTGTTAAAAAACTCTTGAGGAGAGGTGTGTGGGAAAGGAGAGTTATGGGTTTCTGTAAAAAAAAAGACAAACAAAACCCCCCACTAAACCCCCTTATTTCATTCATTGAAATAAATTAGACAGAACATGTCATGTCACACTGTCTTGGTTCTGAGTGTGATATCAAAGTAATCAGCTGATTTGAAGAGAACCTACTTTTATTTTCTCTGTTGAGAGCAATAATGGATAGCACCCACGTCTTATTTTCTAAATTCCTTTGTGGTTGAGTAATATTGACCTCTGGAAGAAAACGTGGGATTTTGTTGTTTTTTTTTTCAGATATGTGTATCTGCAGAATCTAAATCTCAATGAATGACTCAAAACCAATCCATAATAAGTATTGTGCATTATATTAAATGATAGATTAAACTCGATTGATTTAGACAAAAAACTTTATTTTTCCTTTTTCTTTCCTATTTCTTCAGAATTGAAAAAAAAATCTCTTAACAATTATATTACTTACATACTCTGCAGTATAGTTCCAGATATAGATTTTAAGCAAGGCGGATAAACCAGACATAGTCATCAAGGAAAGCAGAAGGGAGAACAGCTACAAACACAACCTTACTCTTTCTACAGGATCTATTTTTCATTTTGTTTTTTCCTATAATTTCTTGTCTTTCCAGGGCTTTGAGCACTTCTGTGAGAAAAGATGGGGAGAATTTCAGAGATACTTTGAAATTATTAGGTCACAGAAACAAAGAAGAGGGGTGGAAGGCGTTTGATGATGTTATTATCCAGAATGTACGGAATGGGCTTGTATCATTTGAACTAAATGAGCATTTAGAAAGGTAATGTATGAATAATTAAATAAAATTTTATTTATTTACTGAAATTTACTTCCATTTATACAAATCAATGGAAATTATTAGAGCCAAGAAATCATCCACTATTAACTTGTCAGTATCTCTTTCTTCCACTTGAAAGCATAAAATAATTTAGATTTGTTAGTCATTATTAAAAACATATAAACTTAACACTTTTTCATTTATAAAATGTACACATTGTAGTACATACAAAACCTGAAACAGGAAATGAAGGTATCAGTCTTAGTTGGAAAACGTGATTTAGCCCTCCAACTAAAAAATCATAATTTTTTTTGAATTCTTGTTAGGAAATACTCGCTTTCATCTAAAATTAATATATATTTGAAATCGTAGATACTTAGTCAACATACTCTACAGAAGCACGCAAATTTCCACCTTCTCATGTGTTGGAAACAAGGATGAAAAGGAGGTAGCAAAAGGCCCATTGGAAACTGTCCCAAATTATTTTGCAAAATAAATGATTAGCAGTTGATAAAATGATTTAAGATACAGCTATTTAATTTAATTTTCTTGGCTTTGTTTATTTATTTTTTCTTAATACAGCTTTGTGGTCATCCGCCTTTCATTCATTTTGGAAAACCTGTATCTACCCCTCTTTGCTCAGGCTCTGGAAGAAGCTCTTTGTAGCACGATGGCTAATGTGATATTGTATCGGAAAAGAGAAAACCCATATAAAATAGTAGTTTTGCTGTCTGCATCCAAGGAATTGACCTATGACCTTCAAAATCTCCGTGAGGAGGGCTATTTTGGTCCCCCGGAACCTACGCAACAGTTCCCATTAAAAGAGGGAGAGCAGATTCATTTTAGATTTATAGGAAATATTTTTGCTTCAGGTAAGATAATCAATTCATGCATCTGGATGAACATTACCAATTACCTCAGCTGTTAAAAAACGCTGTATGGGAACACTGATAGACTGTGATTAGTCACAGCACATTTAGTTATTTCAGTGTTTTATTTCTCGTCAATGATAGGAACATGGAACTCAATGGAAAACTGCTCCAACTGAAAAAAAAAATGTACTAGCTGAACAAGACCCTGAACAATGTGCTCTAGGTGACCTTGCTTTGAGCAGAAGAGTTGGACAAGATGATCTTTAGAGATCTCTTAAACATTTGCCATTCTGTGAAAGCTGGCCCTTCAGAAACAGATGTCATTTTATATTTTATTTCAAAAGGGCAACTTTCTGTCAATAGCTTTATAATATAAAGAACATAGGAATTGAACAGATTCCAAACAAAAGGAAAAGTCTGCTAATTTATCTGTGTAACTTTCATTTAAATGGAGCAAGAAATCCAGGGCAAAACGTTGCCTGTTGTGAGTTGCACTATGAATTGAGGTGATGAGGGAAGAGTTATGTCATTTCCACTAACAGCCTAGAAAATTTCATGCAGTGGCTGCTACCATTCAGTGATTTGCTTAGAGGAAAAAGAGAAAAGAAGCCTCAGAAAAGTTTTCAACCAAAATTGCATATATATGCTTCTGGCAGTTTTAGAATGAACATATGTATTTGGCCCATTTTCTCCTTGAACTCTCCCATTGAAAACTCCATTTACCCTAAAGAAAGGACTATTCTTCAAAAAGAGAAGTCTCCAGCCCCCAAGGAATGCCTGGTCATATATGCAAAGGATAGTGTATATAAATGTATCAATTAAAATGGAATTACAAATCCTAAAAATGCACCTAAATCTCTGGCGCCATTCATTTTATTGTTAGAGATAGACAGATATTAATAATAATCAGAAAGCCTATACCTATACCAATTCCATTCACAATGCTGTTTTATTTTTATTCTTCTCTGTGTTATGTACTTACCTTCTTTTGCTTTTCAGCTTGTAGCACAGACTTCACCACTTATTCCTTATGCCAACAATTCAGGGGCTAAGAGAATTAACTATGAATATATTTCTACTACTGAAGCAGGCTGGCAGGAATGTTTGAACTTCAGATGTTCAATAAAGTAATAATAATGATAAATAGCAACCAAAGAATGTGATTACCTTTATTTGACTCACCCTGATGAATTATTTTAGATACCACACATCTGAATACAGTGCAAGAATATTTAATTTTTTTTTTTATATGTACTGCAGAGAATGGAAAAGATTTTGGAAAAGTCTACAGACTGATTTTTCATTCACAAAGAAAAGCAAGGCTGGAGCTCCAAATTAAAGAAGTGGATGAATTTGGTAACCACAGTTCACCTCATTACAAAGGAACTGCAGTGTTTTATAAAATTACCAGAGAGATGATAACCAAGAAATGGGAACAATCCTTACCATTTTTTGAATATCAACACCAGTCTCCACTGTGTAAATTACCACTAACATTACCAAAGGTGGGTTTCTCACTTGATAATATTACAGATCTTTCCCTTTTTCTCTTATCATATCTTTTATTAGGCAAAAGGATCTTGGTATGATTTTTGATTCACAGATACACACAGGAGTCACTGAGGGAGCCGTTCTGATCCATCTTCAATGTACAAGCATTCTCAGAATTTCTCTTAGCAGTAGGGAGGGACCCTTATCCAGGTATAAGCATGGAAAAATATTTAGCAGAAGTTTTTCACCCATCTACTCTCTCCCCAGTTAGTATGGTACTCAGAAATTATTACTTAAGTTTCAGTTACATAATTTTTGTTTCATCCTCTTGGGAGCACAGACTTGCAAATTGTAAGATCATTAAATGGTTCATGTAACCTATCTCCCACCTATCACCTGATTATCCTATTATGCCTGATTAGCCTCGGCAATACAGCCATGCAGGCAATTATCTTCATCTCTGGTGAACTCTATTGCTACATAAATTAATCTTTAATATTCCTGCAATGAAATTTCATTGTAATCCTTTCAAAGAGCCTAGGCATCAGCACTCTATATTATACAAAATGATGCTATAAAATTTGCATACATTTTAATATCAAAATATGTACAATAACACTTGGTCTGAATCTCTGGTGACAAGGAGTAGCATTCTCTCTCTTTTTCAGTTTAATTGACTTCACTCTTCCTTAAGCTATCACCTATTAATACATCATCTATTTCATGAGCATACTTCTTTTCTCTCTCATCATCGTTCTTCGAAGTAAAATTTAAAGAGTTAACTGAAGAAGATTATAAGAGGAGATCTCTTTTAGTAACAAACTCCATATAAAATGTATGTTTTCCTTTCAAGCACTTTGTTTTTCTGCAGGGCCAGCAGTGTTTGCAGAGAGGGAAATACAAACTCTTGAAGTCCAGTGGGATGTTTAAAAAATTCATAATTAAAAAAAATAACTGTAGCACACCCTACACATCAGTTAGTTTTTTTCCATCTGCCTGACTAGCCTCCATCCTGTTGTTCCACTTTATTTAATCTTATGCATAATGAGATTTAAGGATTGAATTGCATTTGTATTAAACCACAAAGATAAATATCAAGTGTCTTAAGTTTGAGTTGGCATATACAGTCTACTGTAACACATATTAGTGTATGTATTTGGACTGTTGCTGTATTTGGACTTTTCAAAACAAATATTTCTGACTAGACCTTTTCCCTACTAAATTTGAGGCTGTGCTTCCTCTTTCCCAGTGCGGCTGTGATCTTGAAGTCTGGTCAGCCTGTACAAGTGTGTGAGAATATTTAAATATGTGGGTATGCAGTAGCACCCAGGCAACCTACTCATTTAAATGGAAATAAAGGGAGGAACTGTATAAAATGGTCATTGCTGGAAAATTAGAAATAAAGAAAAACCTCAGGAATGGTGATAGCCTTTGGCAATATTATTTTTGTATCTTATTTTTGAGAAGTGTCTCTACTTTCATCTGAATCACTTCAAGCACAGAGGACGTAAATTTGATGCCAGAAAGTCTGCTTAGAGGGTCAGAGTTATTATATTACTTCAGAAAATCAGTGTCAAAGCAACTTACAAATAATTTTTCTTTTTCTTCTTGTAAATATATTTTATGAAGCGCATTTCAGACTCAAGAATCTTCACTAGTTGCAAATATTATATCCAGAATGTAATCAAAATGCTTAAAAGTGTTTGTTTGCACACTGATAACTTTTTTGTTATTTTCTGTCTTACACAGCATGAAATACTCATATGTAGAATAAAGAACAGCATCAAAAACATCTTCCCTTAAGTTGCAAGTCATCTTAGTACACAAAATGTTATATTTTGTTATAGTTGGTGAACCTTCCCACTTTTTTATTCTATTTTCCATCCATCCAGTGCAGTAATTTAAAACTGGTAATGCCTAAAGTCAGGGTTTTTTAATAGTGAAGAAATATTCTTTAATAATATAACTTCAGATATATCTTTCTTTAAGAATTAAAAAACCTCAGTGAAGCTGATTATTTGACTTTAGTGAATAATTAGTAAATTAAATACAACGTACCTTACTATTGGTATATTAACATACAAGGCAAATGGGAACTCCATCCCCACCGCTATCTAGTGGCGTACAACATTCACTAACAAAGTTACAATGTTGTTCACTCTTTTGCTTTCCGGACGTTCTTCCAGCCAAGTAAATTCTGAATTCCATACTGACCAAACTCACATAAATTTTAAGGACAAAAAGTATTTCCCAGCCGAAAGATAGAAAAAAAAAAGACTAGAAAAAGTCATCAGTTTTTTCAAGGAAAGATGATTACTAGTAAAGTCCCATACAGATCAAAACTAAGATATTCATCAGAAACTTTTGAATAATTAAGTGAAAAGTCTGAAGATGTACAAAATGTTCAGAGTACTAAAATTATCTGTGAAGAGTCACACAATAAAGTGATACTGAGCCACTTGAAAATAAACTAGATAATTAGATGTCAATAATTGTTTTGTTGCAGTAGAAGTACATATCTATCTAATTTTATACTGAGATTCTAAATTGCCTATTACCACTCAAAAAAAAAATCTCCTAAATTATTTTCTGAAAATTTCTGAGAACTTCCAGAGCATTTAGTAGCAAATAAAAAGGTAAGCAGAATGTTCCAAATTATTAGACAACAAAACTGAAAACAAGATTTTGCCATATATAATAATAATAATAATGGCCAGTCTTCGCGAACGAAGATTTGGGGAAAGGTCTTTTACCTTTCCAGCCTGCGCAATGGATTTTTTTAGGTGAGACACAGCCTGCGCTGAACTGAGCCCACCCTTTAATCCTAAGGTTCATCTGCCGGGGCCAAGCAAGCTTGGACAATGGCAGTGAGAGGTCCTCAGGACGTAGGTTTGTTTAGAGTGACCTTCTCATAGATGGATGGCCTCACAGGGCTAACGAGCTACCATCTGCCCGGGGGACTTGGGATTCGAACCCGTGGTCACAGCAGTGAGAGTCCTGCATGCTAACCACTAGGCCACCATGAGGCATTCACATCATGACTGCTCTGTGCAATTCTGGTCGTAGAACGCAGAAAGAGGATTTGGAACAAGAGGAAGGAAAGTAGGTGATCAGAAACATGGACTGGTTCTAGGTAGTGAGACAATACATTGATCACAATACTTCAGGAAGCTTCAATAAAAGTTGAAATATGAACATGAATATTATGGAGCAACTGAAAAAGGATGAATATATCCTTTTTCGCAGGAGATAACAACAATTATATTTGTAAGACACAAGTGTAACCAGCAATAGGAAAGAACATACTTTTTACATTAAGAAATAATCAAATGGTGAACTCATTTTCACAGGATATTTGCAGCAGTTAAATACGTTTCAGCCAGAAAAGGAAATGACTGGAAGAGAGACAGAACCATATATTAAACATAACAGTCCAATTAAATGCCAGAGCCAAGAAAATGAAATACTAATTACTTACCATATCTTATGATGTGCTTTAAAATTATTAACAGTGATAAACACACTGACTGTAATTATTAACATAAGGACTTTAATTCTGTTTTTACTACGTTATCCAATCAGCATATTTGAATCAGATATTTCTTCGCATTTAGGTAGGGTTTCTAATGGATAAAATAAATAAAAGGAAATGGTTAAAACTGTATGTGAAAAAACAGTTAGGAAGAAATTTAATGCACCAAATATACAAACTACCCTAACCATCTCTCAAATGCAACTGCTATTTACCATTTCATTAAAGTACAGCTCTTGTGTTAATGTTCATACAATAGGAACCAAAACTGGCACTGCCCATAGTTAGACACATGCTGATGCTATTAATATATGCTGCCAAAACATCTAGAACTACCTCACCACATTTACGTGTGTAGACCTAGACTCAACCAACTGCCCTTCAATTTTACTAGTTTCTAGTTTCTATCACATGTATGTTACTACAGTAGCAGTAGCAATTAAGCTGCCACAAATCTCACAACCATATGAAAACATAACACTCAGTGTTCATATCTGTATTTTACAGTATTTCTCATACACATCTGCTTACAGAATTCCAGTTGTCACAATAAGGCTCTTGTGTCTTAATTGTGAACCAGTTTGTTGTAGGATTATTGGTGGTTTTTTCACTCCCCAGTATCCTGGGGAGCCTTTCATGGTTTGGGAATAAAATCCCCACAATGGTAGTAAATGCAGGACAGAAAGAGCAAAGACTATTTATGTTTCTACTACTTTGTTGAGTTATTTTAACCATGTTAACAGATTTGCTTCAATATACGTGAGTTCAAAAATACTCAGTGTTACTTGCAACAATGCAAATTTTCTCAACAAAATGAAATTAATTTTTTTCCAGATGATAAAGCAAGAATGCCTGATTTTGGTTTTGACAAAGACAGATGGAATCTTTCACTCCTTTTCACTCATTTCTGTAAAATTCCCACCTAAATTTCTCTTGAATTGTGGAGAGAAGGCAGTAACTATATAGATCATAAGCCACTTTTTATATGTATGTGCCAATATTGTGCACTTACAAATATATTTCTGACAGTGATCAAAGCAATGTCTTTTTTTACTTTATGCAACCATTCACATCAGTTTTTAGTTTCAACATGCTACATTTGTACAGAAGTAACCTGGTGTTCACTAATGATTCCTATTTACGGTTCTTTCATTTCCTTAGCAACAGAAACACTTGTTGATCTAACCAGTTATTTTCAACACAAGTCAAATATATGCACTAGGTTCTCATATCAAGTATGTGTGTGCTTATCTACTTATTTCAAAATTTTGTATTTATGTGAAATGGAGCTGAAGAGTTTAAAATATTAATTTTTCCTTTTCTGTCTGTCCTGTTTGATATGCTACAGGAGACTGGTCATGTCTGAGAGGTCCATTTGACAGAACATGTCGATGTTACTGGCTGAAATCAAAATGCTTTGCAAAAGTAGATTGCTGTAATACATACAGGCATTATGAAATTACTATTCTGCTGGAGTTTTATGTCTAATGACTGCCTAACAGCAGAATAGCATGTGATCCTCTGCCTCAGAAAGGCAGTTTCTTAGCTAATTGAAGGGCCTTCCAGACTAGAAAATTGCTTTGACTGCTAGGAGTAGTTTACTTAAGCTGTCAACCAGAACAGCGGGACCACATGCCGGTGCAGCTGAACCATGAGCGAATTTAGCGCTTCACCACAGATACTTAATCTTTAAAGGCAGTTTAATGTTTTAGATCTAGTGCACTGCACATTATTACACTATTTCTAGACAATACTAATTTTCAATTCTTATACTTTTTACTCCTATTTTTACATTAAGTAGCATAAAGTGGTTCAGATTAAAGTTAATGCATGGGTAATTGAGTTCATCTACAATAACTTGAAAATCTCACAGATCTTTGAGATGCTAAATTCTCATTAATGAATGAAAATAAGTTTAAATATAAAAGCATAATTAAACGAAGCCAGAGAAAGCTGAGTCATGAAAGAAAAACAGTGCCCCCTTCTGGAAGAGCTTTATATTCCTTTTATTCTGAGGGGGTTTTAGCCATGTTATTCTGTCTTCACACCAGGGCACGACCAATGACAGAATTGCTGTAGAAGCATACAAAAAAAGGCAGATTCAGAACATAGAAGCATACAATAGTTTGGGTTGGAAGGGACCTTTAAAGGTCATCTAGTCCTACCCCCAAGATCTCAAGAGAAGTACAGCACAGGATGGTTTTGCACTGCCATGCAGTACATAATGTGGGCATCCTGTGCACACTGAAATTGCCTCCCAAGATGACTGAGTACAGACCTGATGAAAAGTTAATTAATTCACAGGTGAATAGGTAACACTTGTGATTATATTGACCTTTTGGATGTGCAGCTCAGTACATATGAGACACTCCAAATATTGAACAATATAAAAGTCTGTATTATAAAAGTGATTAAGATAAGCTCCGTAAGTCTCTGGCTCAGTATGCCCAGAAGGAAAAGGAGAATAATTTTTCCAGTCAGAGGTTCATGCTCTTCATTCGCAAATGAAAACCAGAGGATCAGCAAATAAACCTTGGGCAAGTCTCACCGGGAAAGCTGTACATAAACAACTGCATAATACAACTGAATGTGTGTGACTAAAGTAACATGGGCACTAAAAGAGGATCATTACAGCTTTAAACAAAAAAAAAAATCTGAATTTCACTTTATACAAACTAATCTCTTTTTGTGCTAATTGCTTATATAAGTAATTTCTTGTTCTATATGTAGTAGGAAACACTAAAGCCCAAAAGACTTTCCTCTTTCTCAGTCACAGGAAAAAAAGGACAAAGTACTTTTTTCTTTCTCTCCACTGATTAGAGGAAGAAAGAAGAAGAACTTTGTACTTTCTAATGAAACTTGTCTTTTGAATTTTGATGATTTTTTGAGATGTATTGAACTAGTAAGATGAACTATGTAAGATGAATAACTATACCTGCAAACACAGTATGATTATTAGACCTAACAACAGCTATTGCATACCTAAAAATGGTTATTCTCCTGGAAAGGTAGGCAAAGTTAATGCAGTATTCAAAATTAGAATCTCTTGCATGTATGAAGGTGCCATACAGACTTTCTATACACCTAGTTTCTATACACCAGTCATGGCATAATCCTATTGATCAAACATTTGGAAAATTGTATAAATTATGAACTTTTTAATAAGAGATAATAAGCATCCATTTGTTGGATGGAAACTTTATTAGTTTCATTATTTTAAATAGCTGTATATTGATTTATGCCTGCTGATGGTGTTAACTGGTTTTCAATAGTGACAAAAATCTTCTATTAAGAACCAATCTTAAATGTTGATTTACTGCAATCTACTCCTATACCCTATGCCTCCTTCCTTACTCATTTAGTTATTCCTCTTTCCATGACACATTTTCTTTAATAGCATGAAAAATTGATCAACCATCCACGAAGCACAAAAATAATTTCTTCTGATTCATCAGGTAAGAAAGCATCCGTAATGTATTTATATCAATGTAAATAATAATTATACTTGCTATTTACTTCTTTAAATGCAAAAATTTGTTTTGGCTGTAACTGACATTTAAAAATGCCATATTCACGAATATTTAATGTGTTAAAAGATAGGAAAAGGAAAAAAAATCTGTTTATCTTGAAATACAAAAGGTCTTGTAAGATGATGTTGTGGGATGCTTTAACAGCATATAATTTTCTTTATAAGGAGATTCAGATTGTATTAGAAAGCTCCAGTATGACTGATGTATCAGTTACAGGAAATATAAAAAACCTTATATTTTATTGCTAACTTTCCCCATGCAGTTCCAGAACTTGTAGATCATTGCTGAATCTGCTCTTGACTAAATTCACTTCATGCCGTAGTGCAGTTACCAAAAATTACATTGGAAATAAGAAGCTGTTTTCATTAAAGTAAAAAGCAAACCATATTTATTTAGAGAGTTTATCCTCTGAGCCTCCAGCTTTAGAAAGCTTTTTAAAAGAAAGGAAAATATACATAGCAGAAGAATAATGCTCTCACTTAACTAATTTTTGCTCTTTAGAGGACCTGTGGGACAACTTGCTGTTTTGGCTTGCAGAAGAGCTTGCAGAAGATAATACATCCTTGTTTGCTTTATGTTTACCTGTTCGACAGAGCATACTTCAGCTTGTTAGGCTGAAGTGCCCTGATAATTTAACACACCAGATCTATGAGCTGCTTTGCTACTGGAAAAAGACCCTTCCAAGGTCAGCTGATAAACAGCGGCTCCTCTCTCGCTATTTGCGGAAGAGTGGCAGAAGTGATCTTTCAGAAGAACTTCGTTTAAAGTGGCAAAATAATGTGTTCACTTGACACAATAACAGTCCAATTTCTCTTGTTTTTTGTCCAAAGGTGTGAATATTTCCATGATACCTCCGCATGAAAAAATGACAGGCATATCAGTCAGGGATAAGACTATTTATTTGTTACTTTGCAATCTCTTTCCTAAAGCCAAGTATAATAACAATGCTCTTGCTTGCTAAAAGTGAAAATTTCTTCTGTGGAAAAGTGAGATACTGAAAATACGGGTACAAAGAATTATAGACTGGTCTGCATAGGATTCTAAGGACTTTAATTGTTTGCACATGCAGTAGTCAACACAGAATCATATTTCTATGTACTTTAAACATTTGGAATTATTCACTACACCAAAATCATATGGATCATTCTATGATATGTGGATTACTTTATATCCAGTATTAATAGCTATTAGATTCTTCAGATGAAAGCATAATAGATCATTATACTGCACAGAGGTAACTTCTTACTTTCAGATTGTTAGTAATTCATTCTGCGTTTATGTTCTCCAGTAATGTTTTTTATCCTTGTGAATGTCATAGCAGACACATGTGAATATGTCATCTGTTTCCAAAATTTGTGAGATTTATTGCCTCACTTTTAACTGTCATTGTGATGGGGTCTCTTAGGATACCATCAAATCTGGATAAAGGAGTATTTCTTCATATAAATTTTAAAATGCATTGCTTTGATGTTTTGTTCATTATACTAAGTTCTTGTATTGAAGATACGGATGTAAACCAGGTGTGTTTCTGCCATTCCTTAGTCATATATTTCAATCTCTAAAAACTCATTTCTTTCCAAAATGCTAAGTAGGAATCACCTAATTTTTAAAAGTCAGAGCAAGAGCAAGTTTGGGCTTTTAGTACTGTGTTTCTGCTGAAATAATATTCTAATTTACAGTCTTCTGTCGCTTGCTTCTTTATTGCAATCCACCATATAACACACAGAATTTCTCTAAACACTAAACTTTGGCTTCTGTTAAAGGCTCAAAGTACCCAGCAAGAGTCAGTGAATCACACAATTCTGACAGCAAGCTCACTGCTAAGAAATTACACATAAAAATATCAATTTGTGATTACACAGGCTGTCACATTTGTGTGATTTCCCTATTGCTTCAGCCGTGTGCAATAGATGTGGCTCTTTCTTCAAATCCACTTGTGCATGTTTTTTAGTTAACTGTTATTCTTCTTGATTCAATGCATCACTTCTCTTCTTTCACCTCTCCTTTAATAATATAATATAAACTTTAAATATTAATCTAAATCAAAAAGTTTTTAATCTAAACTTTATTAGTGTTTAGACTATTTAGAATCCCTGTGTGTCTTGCTGACAAATCTTACTTGTGATACTTAGTTAGTCTGGCTATTTTATTTTTAGAGGTCATATATTTGCAACATTTCCAAGTCAGTACTACAGATGAGAAAATTGCATGGCAAAAGAAAAGATAAATACGAATAGTATTAATTAGTTTGATTCATCTAGTCAGTAATGTTTCCTCCTGTGCGATTATCAGTTTTTAGATGTAAGACAAATATATGAACAATTTAACCCCTTCACTGTGAACTAACCATACTAACAATCCTTTCCTTTTCTTTTTTTTTATAAAGGGTTTTTTTTAAAGTATAAACTAACTTCTTATTAGAGGAAAATATTATCAAACTTTTCTCAATGCCCAGCACATTTGGCATCAGATCTTTTGTCATCAGTGCCTTCTCTTCAGGAATGAATATTCACTTGCAGGTTCAACAGATATTGTCAGTGTGTATGTATATCATGATCATGATTCTATGTATGATGGTATGGCAAACAACACCAGAAATATTGCAAAAAATTGGATTTCATTCTTCCATCTAAAAGTATTTTGACTCACCTACCAACATTCTGCCACAAGATGGCCTCTGCGTCTAACAAAACCATGTATTTCACATGCTGAAAACTACATGAATAAAACACTACTAAAAAGTAAAAGCCATCTAGATACTCCACGCAGTATCAGAAACTGGAAAAAGTTGCCCAGAGAAGTTGTGAATGCACCATCTCTGGAGGTGTTCAAGGCCAGACTGGACACTGCCAAGAGTAGCTTTGTCTAGTGGAAGGTTGGAAACAGATGATCTTTAAAGTCCCTTTGAACACACACATTCTATTATTCTATGATCAATAACATCAGTGCAAGGCACCAAGAATTGTGGGCATTTCAGTAGCATCTATGCAAAGGGAAAAACTGCATTCAGCCTCCTCTTTCTGGAAATTTGAGATTATTTTTCACATTAATTGAACAGTAAAAATATATGAAATTTGTCCATGTTCAAATATAATTTGCAAATATGAATCAAGAGACTAAGTAAACAATATATTTTATGAAAGACTGCAAAAATTATTAATAAGGTAGATTAAAAAATTACCAATTTTAAATATAACACTTCATGTTCTCCTCTGAGGAGGTAACCTTTAGGTCTGCTGGTTATTTTTTTCTTCTTGCAGTAATTCTCACTTGCAGTCTGAAACTAGTAACTAGTCTTGTTGTGGACCAGGAAAGCTAAGCTGGGTGGTGATGTGCTTTTCCTCTCTTCCTCTCCCTCCTCATCTCTCTCACCAATTCTGCCTGGTGCTGGGCCTTTCCTATCTATCTGCTCTAGGCAACCTTCACAGCTTTCATTCCCACGTTTTGGATATTTCATCTGCTGAAAAAGCACGAGTAACTTTCAGCACACACTTTCCCAGCTTAGAAAAACATTTTGACAGAAAAGCATATTTAAAATGCACATTTTAACAAAAATTAAATAAGCACCACACAAAACCCAAATATTCTTATGCCTTCCCTCATTGTTTCTTTTGCTTTACCAGATATCCACAGAAGCGTCCTCCTTGTTTAGGTCTTTCTAATCCCAGGGACTCTTGACAGGAGGAGAGAATGGGGGGTGTGGGATGTGTATGTTTCCCTTCATGTTTAGTCTCAACCAACCTTTTATATCCAGATATGTTTTAGATTCCTTTCTTTTCAGGTAGAGAAGAGATTTTTCCCCGCTAAAGTTCAAAGGCTGTAAACAAAACCTCCAAACAAAATAGGTTTCAGATCAACGTGTGTGGCCTTCCATGCAACAGAACATCAGCAGCTATAAGACACAAAATTGTAGCTCTTTATGGTTAAAGTAAATTAAGATCAAGCTGTAGTAGAATCCAAAGAGACCTTGTCAAAAAGGGAGTAGTATTGGGATATCAAATGAGGTGGCTCTCTAACCTTATGGAAGGAAGAATTCTTAACCACTCTCCTCCTTTCCAAATACCAAATGCCTGTCACATGCTGATATGGCTGAACTATTGATGTGGAAAGTCCAATTTCTTAACTAGCATCAACACTATCCTTTCTTTTTCAGACAATCAGATATTGTCTCCTAAAAGAAAGGGCTCCCTCAGTGAGATTTAGACTCACTGAATTGCAGTCAAAATCTGGGAAAGAATGAGACCTAAATGGGGCAAATCTACTTCTGTGCTGGGCGTTTTTATTGACCATAAAAAGTATGTAGGACCAAGAGCAAAATCTGAACTGTATTGCTTAGAATGTGCCTGTTTTCCACCCTTAAAGAGAAGGTGAAGCTGTGTGTTTCTGCTAAACACAAATGAAGGCAGCTGAACAGAAAAGGAGCTAAGATAGGAAGCCAGTTGCTCATAAAGAAATCACCTAGACAACTACAATTTGGCTAACTGAAGACAGAAGTTAATTATTTAAATACTGAACAGCTAATCAGAAAATAAAAAAAAAAGAAAGAAACACATACATTCCTTTTGTGACATTGTTACAGGATGGATTGCCAACTGCATCTAAGACTGATGAAGTTCAAAGGCATAAAGCAGACTTCACATATTCAACGTTTAAAATACAAATTCTCTCTACTTAGTGAAGCAAGGCTCAATAGGCAGGATCAGTACACGGCTTAATACAACAGATGTTTAATTAAAAAAAATAAAGATGGCATTTAATCAATATCCCATCCAAGTCCCTTTCAGAAATGATTTGTTTTATTCTTTCAATAGCCTTGGGTAAGTACTGTTTACATCTGTAGAAAAGTCATCTTGAACTGTGAGAGTCTGAACTTTAAAGCTTCTCTCAAGTGAAGTGGGAGGGAGCTCACATACAGAGCCGTTTGGTGGGAGAGCCTCAGTAGACGCTCCTTCCAGCTCTTCTCAACAGCTCATTTCAGTGGGCACGTCTTAAGTGCAGTGAAATAAACTCCTGAAAAGGCAGGGCATTCAGGAAACTGGCATAAAATAGCCCAGCTGAAATCAATCCTTCCTTTCCATATAATCTGTACACTTTACCTGAAGACATCTCCTGGGCATCTCCAATACACTCAGAAAAGGAGTCAACCAAAGAAACACAATATTTGCAATTCCTCTGGTTCTAAGCAGCAAAGTGGCTTGAACATATGTCTCAATACCAGATACCTACCTTTTCTGAGGCTCCTTCAGAGTCTGCTTTTTCATGCTAGAATACTTTCTCTAATGACTCTAATGACTCTGCTTACTAGTAATTATGCAATCATTATTGAGTAGAAACATGGCCCAAGTATGATGCTCTGAAAATATACTGAAGAAGGTCTCCTAATAATTCTAGATAGCATAGGTATTTGGAAAAGCACAGACACAGCTATTTCAGTTGATCTGAAGCTGAGTTAGATCATACTATACAGAATAAAAACAACTTTCACATATAATACTACTGATGAGAAAAAGACATTATTAATTAGTAATCTACTGTAATATTGTAATAAATCATAGTAATTCTCGCAAGAATAGAAAAGCAGTGTTCGTGTTCCATCCTTTCCCCTTGAACAATGAGAATATCATAAATATAAGAAAAATTACTCTATAATACAGTATGCAAGTGTAAGGTCTTGTTCTTATCTCTAGTCTATGAGAAAGACAAGACTTCATCATTACTATTGTAACACTACTCTTAGTCTTTAAAAAAATTCATATGCTTTTGAACTCCCCATTACATATAAAAATTCATT